GTGTATAAAGGGTTCAATTCGATGTAAAAAGATAAGAATTATCCTTATTAAATACTCACATGGAAGATACTGTTTAAATTTTTAACTTCGTTTTTAATTTGACTAATATTGTAAAAAATTTTAAAATTTAAAAAATGAATTGCTTAGAAAAAAGGTTTAAAGACCAATTTATTAAACTCGTCAAATTGAGAGAGTATTCATAGAGAAAAAGCCGTAGTACTCCAATATCGTTATGCCATCGCACTTAGTGGTACAAAACCTAAGCTGTTAGGCCTATATATTTACGGGGGCGTTTGATGGACTGGTCTCTGAGATGGTTTTTGTTATTCCATCCAGCCGGCTGGTTCCTCCATCCAGTGAATCTCCGCCGTTTAAATTGTACTCGACGGTCACGATTTACCCAGAGGCATGCTTTTCTACAAGTTGCTTTTGACCTGCAATATACCGTTAAACATATACTAATTAAGTGGAAAAAACGGCATATCGTTTTTTTGGTCATCTCTTTTACTTTCCAAGTTTGTAAGCTGACCTCGTTTACTTACTCATGACACTCATATAGATTAAGGGTGGAGGGAAACATATATTTGATACTTTATATATCTAATGATATTATATAGTTCAGGATCACTTGGTTAATTTTATATATTATATATATATATATATATTCTTTTGGTTTTTAAACTTGTGATGTTGTTCAGTATTTATGATTTTTTTTTGGTCGTGTCATGAGTTTTTCATGAACATATGATTAGGAAGGTGGGCAGCTGTATTTCATCTTGGTCGTTGAAATTTCCCCACATAATGTTTTTCGTTATCCTTTTAATTCGGCACAGAATTAAAAAAAAAACAAAATTTGTTGGGAGCAATTGTTTTCAGAAGAGCAGATTGGGTTTCATTTTGGAAATTCTTCTAGTTTATTCCCTTTCATGTATGAGTTGAACATAAATTTTTAATCTAATTAACGGTATAACTGTACAGACCAAAATATTGCCCATTATTTTTTTATATCTACAAAATACAAGGTATAAAAATAAAAATAAAAATAAATCTGCCTAAGAGATAAAGTTGTCTGCAAAATAAATACACAGCCAGCCGCCCACCGCAAAGAGAGGCAACAGACATAGGTTACAACTTGAAAATTGTAAGGCGAAGATGCAATAAGTGCAAAGATTATGACTATAATAAGCAAACATACCCTCAAAGAACTTAAAAGGGTAAGAATATCGATATTGCATCAATCCCAACAATCTAAACCTGTTGTTCTTTTGTCTGAAAAACTCAAAAAAATACAACTCGAGTTCCAACTTTATTTAAGTTCACGTTCTTTTAAGTTTTAATTTTATTCAACTTTACTCAACTTTATTCAAATTACAACTTCAACTCAAGTTATAACTCAAAAACTGCACTCAAATTACACTCTAAAAGAACAGACAAATTCACAAACTACCCTTGGTACAAGACAGCAAGAAACAACAACGAGAAGTCAATACAAGTACATTTAGTATGATGATGGAGTCTACTGCTTAATTATTTAAGCAACCAATATATGAAGCACTCAACTGGCACAACTGGTACGATTATAAGCAATTCTTTAACACTGAATTTGAAAGTTATAATCGCTTGGTAGATTTTCATACCAAGGCTCAATTCAATTAAGTCGGCAGGGTCTACTAATTTTGCTATATCCCCCTTTTGTGATTAGGATCTCATTATGATAGCGTTTTTTCTTTTTCTTTCATTTAGATTATGATACATTGAACCAATTAAGTGGACATTACACGACTGCCCTTTTGACATAGGGGCTGATCCATCCAGCTTCCATATATGTATAATCTTTAAGTTGTTGTTTGGTGTAAAAGTTCGAACTCGGAACTATGATTCTAATTCAGAACTAATATTTGTTTACAAAAAGTAAAAAATGGTTCTGGTTTGACTCACTTAGAATCAGTGTTTGGTTAGGATGGTTCTGATTCAAGGATTGAACCATGATGTGATGTTTTAAACCATGAATCATTCTTGATTCTAAAACCACCCATGGTTTTGGGTGGTTCAAATCCATAATTCTGGTTTTGGTTTCAGAACCATGATTTGGACTTAAAATCATGAATCATGATTCTGGTTCCAAAATTAAAACTAAAATCACTCTGATTTAAACTCTCGTACCAAACGAACTCTAAATACAAATGAGTTGTTCTTTTGGAATGAAACTCAGAAAAAAATTTGAGCTCGAGTTACAATTTTATTCAAGTTCATATTCTTTTGTAAAATTTGAATTTGAACTTGAGTTTGAGGCTAAACTCGAGTTTGAGTTTTCCCTTCAACTCGAGTTCATAAACTCGAACTCAAGTTAATGAACAATTTTTTTCTATTCTTAAAAATGTCATAACTTTTTCGTTTTAATTCTGATTGAGATGATTTTTTTTTCTATGTATTCACAACGAAAAGACGAATAAAACCCCACCCATATACCCTATTAAAAATTTTTCATCATCATTGAGTTTTTATTAAAATACTATCTAAATACAAATTTAAGTTTTGGCACACTCAAATACAAACTCAAATAGATTCTCAATTTAAATCATAACTTTAATTGTGCACATCTAAACACAAACTCAAATCACAACTTTAACTCAAATTATAACTTAAAATTAACTCAAAATCATAATTCAAATCATCTTAACTAAAAAATGTAAAAAAACAACCCCTAAATATTAAACGAAACATGCGTAGTTTTACTACTATGTGTGTCCAAAGGATAACAAAGTTGAACCTCGAGGGACATATTGACAAGTCCTCTTTATCTTCTTTTGTACTTAATTGGCGATGGCTGGAAAGCAGAGTAAATGACAACAACGTTTTGTAGTGTGACGAAACTCTGATGAGGTCACCCTTTGACGAATTAATGTATTGCATGGCCCGATTAAAAATACCGCAAAAGAAAAAAAAAATGACGCAATAGTTATGGACCTTATGGTTAGACCCGCAGAGCAACCACCTGTGTGTGGGCCCTGTGGCTGCTCAAGACTTGGAACTAGTACAATGCTATTAGAACATTGCCCTTGAGTTGTCGATGTAAGCAATACTCGTGCTATTTTCCGCGATCATTGTATGACTGTCGATGTCAGATTTGGTCTAAAATTGAATTACTTGGAAATAAGAAGAATCGATAGAAAACTACTGATGAACTGGAGGATCAGGAATATTCCACCCCGAGCAAATTGAGACGTAGAAAATTTTAAGAGAACCATCTCCAAATAACTAAGACTGAGTAAAAGTAGAAAGTTTTAAAAGAACAATCTCCAAATAACTAAGACTGAGTAATCAGGACTGGATCTGCCAACATGAAAGAGGAAAGACAATCCCACTAAATGATAGAACCATTATTTTAGATGAATGGCTATCATTTTATTGTTATCTATTAGAGCAAGTGATGGTCCTTGCTATCATGTTCCTTGTTTCAGGAAGTTGGCAGTCCATGCACTATCTCGTCGAGCTTTTCTTTTAGTTTGCTTCTCGTTTATTTGCTTTTAAATACTTCTGACCGATTTTGATGAGAGGAGGTCCCGTTATGTATTTCGAAGATTGTGGCTATTGAGTCTATTGACTCGGTTTGAATATGAACCACTTGTAGATTATTTTCATTTCTACAAGACTTTATAGATTAGTTAATTTAATTAGTTTTGATAACATAATCAATCTATAGTAAGAAATAATTTTGATTTTTTTTTTTTTTGAATTTTTCTACTTATGCCGGAAGAAAAGTCATTATTCTCATGCAGTAATAGGGGGCCGATAGACTGAGTTAATTAATCGAATGTTCTTAATGACAAATAATATTTAATATGCGAATGTCAGAGTGTCTATGGCTTGATCTCATGGACTTTTCCCAGCTAGGCTGTTGGATATTTTTTACACTTAAAACTTCAAATACTTTTCTAAATAATCTAGATATCGATTATCTTAGACCAAATAGCTACTTAAATACGAATAAATCTGAATCTATTGCAAAGTGGCTAGGTGTATTGGCGGCTAGTTTCTATTATACATAAAAATAATGTGGAGTAACAAGTCATTATCTAAGAATAAAATTCCTCCAAAAGTCAGAAACTTTGCATCACTCTAATGACTAAATTGTTTTATTATTAATGTGATCTTAGTATCCAAGTTTTAAAATTTAGAATAAAAAAAAGGATCCCTACAAAAGAAAAAAAAAATTGGCGAAGAAAAAACGTACATACTAAACATATTTCCCTCGTCTAATTACATCAATAACGTCTCCTAGTTAGAGCTGTTTCGTTTGATTGTTTATTTTATATTTTTTTCAAATGAAGTGAAAGAAATGACGATTTGTAAAACCTAGCAAGCTACTCCCACACGGCAATGTAGTTGTAGCAGCATCGCTCGGGTGTCACCAAGCAAATTAGTTATTGCATCTTCCATTGATAGCATGTGCATATGTGTACATGTTATGATTGTCGACTTAGGGGAAAGGAAAAATGGAAAGAGTAAGGAGTAAATTGATCAGAGTATTAGTGGAAAGATTTAAAGATTTATAGTTATTTGATAGAAGAATGTTATGGAGCATTTGTGGTATTGAGTACCATCCACTAATAGGAATTAAGATTTGTTGTCTCATATTTCTATTTCGGTGACTGTCTCTCAAATTAAATTTTGACATATCGAATTGTTGAAGTATTTTTAATATTTGTTCTTTTCATGTGGTTAGATTCTTAAATTAAGAGGACATGGCAAATAAATAGTGGAGGGATATACACCAAGATAGAAAAATGAGGACAACAATTCTGGACTCCAACTAGATGGTGGATATCATAGCGGGGTCCACAAGTTCGGTTTACTTTTTATTAATGGTAGTGTTTAGTATTGATAATGTCTCTAAGCATTTTTCTATTTGGTAGGAGGAGAAAAGATAAGAGGAATGAGTACACTACGATGGTAGATTTCAAATCTTTCCATAAATTTCAACTTGAATCTCTCCTAATATGGAGGTTAATTAGAACCATTAGAGTAAGAAATCTCCATCTAATAATAAAAAGAAAAAATTCCTCATTTCTCTTTATATTTTCCTTTACCTAGATTATACACTTTTCTGTCTCATTTTTAATTTCTTTTATTCTTCCTACGAAACATACCTTAGATTCTTGTATGTTAATTGAGGCATAAAAGTAACATACGGGTATGCAAGGACAATTCTAATGGTAAGTAGAAGTGCAGAATCACGCAGAGCAAAATCAACAAGTACCAGTACTGATCTTGAGTAACAATATTTGAGCCAAAAAAAAAAAAAAAAACGTCTTTTGGCCGTCTCTAACATGATAAGTACTACAACTGTGCTCCCACTTTTTCATTTATTACCAAATTGTCTTTATTTGGAAGATTATTAAATTTCCATTTATTTACATATTTTTTCTGAAAGGAAGAGGAATATTTTATCTTAAATTGCGGTGAATATTTGTCACAGAAGAAGAGTTCACCACCATTATAAATACAGTCTCTCAGTCTCATCATAGTGCCATATATCACATTTGAATATATATATATATATATCCGCGGCAACAAAGCCATTACTATTAGCCGATCTTGCCTCTGGTAAAAGCCATATTCCCTCGAACTATATCCGACCAGAAAATGATCGACCAAATCTCAATGAGGTTGAATCGTTTGATGGTAATTCCATTCCTCTCATCGACTTTCAAGGCCTTGATGGTCCTAATCGCTTTGATATTATCAACCAGATTGGTCTTGCCTGCCGAAACTACGGTTTCTTTCAGGTATATGTGTATCGATATAGAGCGACATAGAATTTTGTGTCATTTTCGTTTAAAGGATTCTGCGGTAAAAGGCATTGACTGAATGTTGGGTAATAAATTTCCAGATTTTCTCGGATTCTTTTAGATTTTCATATGTATGTATATGTAAATGTTTGATTCTTTCTTCAGGGTGGTATTACTGTTTGATTCTATGTTCGTTTAATTTTTTTTTTAACTTTTTATGTTATTTATTTATTTTTTTTAATATAACTCATCTAAAGTCTTGATATGCACTTTACTGAAAAATGAATCTTCACACATTTGTTTTTCTGAATCTCTACATTAAGTATAAACGAAATAATTTTTTTTTTAAAGATATGATGTTTGTTAGATACTATTATGCTTATTTTATTTTTTTTAAAAAATTTCAATTATACAAATGAAATGATCTTTAGACTTCCGGTCGGAGAAAAAAAGATCTTTAGAAAACACACGCACTACATTGTCGGCAACTGCAACATAAAATATAAAATTCAACTTCAAGGAATTTTTCCTTTATAAAAAGAATACTTATATAATACTTCAAAAAGTGTTAGGTTTTACCATATTTCATTAGTTCTAAAATTGATTGACAATAATTCGTTTTAGGTAAAAAACCATGGGATCGACGAAGCCGTCGTGAACAGAATGTTAGAAGTGGCAAGGGAGTTCTTCCACATGCCGGAAACCGAGAGGGAGAAGAGCTACTCCGACGATCCGTTCAAGACGACGAGGCTGTCGACGAGCTTCAACGTCAAGACGGAGAAAGTGTCATGCTGGAGGGACTACCTCCGCCTCCACTGCCACCCCCTGGAGGACTACGTCGCCGAGTGGCCCTCGAACCCACCGTCCTTCAAACCCGACGTCGCCGAGTACTGCCGCAACGTCAGAGGGTTGGTGCTGAGGATTCTGGCGGCGATATCGGAGAGCCTAGGGCTTGAGAAGGACTACGTGGAGAGGGCTCTGGGGAAGCACGGACAGCACATGGCCATCAACTACTACCCCAAATGCCCACAACCCGAATTGACTTACGGGTTGCCGGGTCACTCCGACCCGAATGCCATCACGGTGCTGCTTCAGGATGACGTGCCGGGATTGCAGGTGCTCAAGGATGGAAAGTGGGTGGCTGTCAACCCCATTCCTAATACGTTCATTGTCAATATCGGTGATCAAATACAGGTCAGCTTTTTTCTATTTTTCTTTTATTCACTTAACTAATTGAGTAATTTTCTTTCTTTTTATTTACTTAACTAATTGAGTAATTTTATATGGTCCTCCTATGTTTAGATTCTTTGTTTTTTTTTTTTTTGGTCAATCGATTATATTATGAGACGTAATTTAATGCACTCACACGTTAAAATACACTGAAATCATATTTTTGACAAGGCCGGACCGTTAAAGTGGGGGAAAAAAAATTTTGAGTCCATGATCATCCTAATAATCTTATATAGGCGATTTTTGTTTTTAAATAAAAAAATTGATGATTATGGTATTTTAGTATCACTAATCTGCATGAATGACATGTGTTGCTCATTATTTGTCGAGTAGCAAAATGAAAAAAGAAAACTGTCTAGGTGGTATATATTTAAGTGATGTATTTTTTCAGATATTTTTGTATAGTTGATGATTTGTATTGAGTCGATATATATATATATATATTTTTTTTTTTTTTTTGCATAGTTGATTGTTTGCATTAAACGGTGAGTAGCTTTTGGTAATTGAATATATATATGGACGTGTACAGTGGATGCAAGTTAATGGTTATGCTTTCAGTAAAAAAAAATAAAAAATAAAAAATAAAAACATTAATGGTTAGGGGAATACATGACTCACTCGTGTCCTTACCACTCCTTTTAAATATTTATTCATGTGTATTTTTTGTTCAGAAATTAAGAAGTGATTGCAATGGCCTTTTCTTTAAGAAAATTGTATTTGGGAAATTCTACCGGAGGCGCTTCACTTATAGATTTTATAAGACCATTTATTGTAGTGGTAGGATTTAAATTGGGAGTCACTGATATTATTCTATGTTTATAATTTTTTTTTTTGTCGAGAAATAAAGTTGAGAGTTTAAAATGCATAAATATGTATATGTATTTGTTGTAACTGTAGGCTCAATCTAATAATAATTTATATCCAGTACAATATTGTCATATATATACTTTTTTTAATATTGAGACTTAAAGTTCAAATCCTTTACCTGAAGTTAAGAAAAATAAGTTGCATAAGATATTCGTCCACCGCAACCCTTGAATCACTCTTCATTTTAATATTTATTATTTATTTTTTGACTTGAAATATTAGTACTGGATCGTTCAGTAAAGTCTATCTTAGGTTCCAGTTTCAACAATCAAGATTTTCTTGCTTCGTTTTCTTTTTCTTTTCTGGGGATCCAATCAAGATTTGATCGCTGTTACGAGTCGTAGTCAACTAATTAGGGGGCAATCTATTGCAGCACTTATTTACTTTTCCGTGTTAGCAAGACGTACGGAAAGTTTAAAAGGTGCTCCCATAAGATACACACGCGTGATCATAAAATGTTTAAGGTTTTGACAAAAAAAAAGAAAAAAAGGAGTTTCTTTTAGGTTATTGCGCATGCATAGCCGAGAAAGGAGAAAAATTCTTGACAAATTTCTGAGCGACTTTTATATATGATAGTGTAGGTTTGAATGATCTGCTTTGGATTTATTTAGATTTAGTTGTCAACAATTTTCATATAGCTTTTTACTTATGAAGGTAAAGTGAAGTTTATTTCAACTTTATTTTGTAAAGATACTTCCCAAATTATGTGTTCATATTGTATAGTAGACCATTGACCACAAACTCACATTCCTCCTTGATTTAAAAAAAAAAAAAAAAACTAGTTGTAAACACGCTCCGCGGGTGCATATTCAATATTTTCTTCTTTTTTTTTTTTTTTTTCTGATATAGAGTTCCTATTTTTTTTTTTTTGAGAATTTTGTAGTTTATATTTTTTATCATTGTTTTTTTTAAATTAAATCCAATAGAAAAAATTTTAAATAGAGCAACATCGAAAGGGAAAAAGTTATCTTTTTTTAGAACAACTGCAGATAAAATGTTTCTGTAAAGGCATATTTGAGAACAAGACATTAAAGAGTATTTATTAAGCATATATAGTAAAAAAAATATTTGAGAGGTCATTTCGTTAAAAAAAGTTTTGATTAGGATATATATATATAAGAAGAAATTATTTCAATGGGACAATTAGAGGAAAAAATATTTATGAGGGTCACATTTGAGAAAGAAAAAAAAGAATCTATTGTAGAGCGAGAAAAGGGAAGGAAAAAAGAAGTGAGGGGGAAAAGAAAGCAAAATGGAAATATTGGGCATATATAGTAAAAAAAAAAATTGAGAGGGTCATTTTATTAAAAAAAAAAGTTTTGATTAGGACACATATGAGAAGATATTATTTCAACATGATAATTAGAGGAAAAAAATTTATGAGGGTCATATTTGAGAAAGGAAAAAAAAGAATGTATTGTAGAGGGGAAAAAAAGAGAGGAAAGAAAGAAGTGGGGAAAAAAAAAAAAACACATTCTCCTAATAGATTAACTAAATGTATTTTGCTGTTTGAGTCATTTAAATATTACTAGATGGACACAATTTGAAATATTAATATGCATGTGACGGCTTGAGGTCATGAGTCATGTTGGCATATTAATTATGTGTCACGTCTGTTACGAGTGTTTTATGGATGATCATTGCGTAGGTTATAATTTGGTTCCATTACTTAATATCTGTGTTATACACTAAGCTATGTTTCATGAAAATTCTCTATAATCATAACTAATATTCAGCTGTCTCTACATATGTAGGTTCTAAGCAATGATCGTTACAAGAGTGTGCTCCATCGGGCCGTGGTGAACTGCGACAAGGAAAGGCTATCCATTCCAACATTCTACTGTCCATCATATGATGCAACAATTGGCCCGGCCCAGAAACTGATTGATTGTGAGGAACCAGCTCACTACAGGAGCTTTACATATGGCGAATACTATGAAAAATTCTGGAATCGGGGCCTTAAGACACAGACCTGTTTGGACATGTTCAAAACAACTCTTCCTTGACCACACTTTGCATCCCGTTTTGGAGCTTTTCACCTGTACTAGTAAGAATAATAGAAGGTGGATCATATTGGCCGGCCTTATGTTGCGGAATTCATATTTTATTAATGGACAGTGTCCTGTAACATTATGTTAATATGTATTTTGCATTATTTATCCTTCAGTACTTTCCTTCTAATGTGAGATTTCTCACTGAACTATATTATGTGTGTTATTGTTATTGATCTACCATTTTGTACGTGGTTTTCTGCGACAATGGCGTTGCTATAAGCAGCAGTACTTATGCGTGACGACCTTTTCTCATTCACAGCTCACAAAGTAAACTGTCGAAATGCTCACTAACTGCATTACAATTTTTTAAAATATGAAACTTCGTCCAAGTTATAACAATTTTTTTTTTTTTTTTTGTAGCCAGGCTGTTTGGTGATATCAAAAGTTGTCATCCTCGGAGAAACCTAAGTTTTCAAAGTAAAATTTGATTGAAAATGATCAAACATTTAACCATAAACACGTAAAATTTATAATAAAATAAAGGAAAAGGATACAGAGATCTAGAGTTGTTCGACTCAATGTAGCCTATACGTCTACTACAATTGCTAAACTTTTCATTGAATTTATAATGAGATTATATACTCAACCACTCTCTTACTGTTCTCTACATATTATGCAAGCAAGAAAAATATAAAGTCTGGTAGAAGAGCAAGAGTTTGAATCTTTGCTTAATCTCGCCCTTCTCCTATATTTATGGGATCAACTATCCATCATCCTCTCATCACTCCGAGATGAAACCATCATCCTATTTATGGGATGCTTCTAATGTTAAAGTTCTTAATGGTGTCGTTTATTGGATAAACGACATTTCGTATACAGTTAAGAAGTTTGCTTTTTTATACGGTCAATTGTGTATATATAGTTGGTTACATACTTTTTTTTTTTCTTTTTTGTGATAATATATTTAAAGGATTGCGACCCTTAAGAACATATAATTAGACCATCTAAACAGCTGAAGGTGCAGGGGATGTAAGCTAGGCGGCAGTTGATTGCACCGTCTGATGAGTACGCCTGGGAAAAAAACAAAACCTCTGATTGGCCGAGGAAGGATATAGAAAAACACAAGTGAGAGAGGATAAGAACAAAAGTGGAACGTACAAGAAGAAACCTCAGCCGGCAGATAAAAATGCCCTCGCTTGTCACGAATTTCATTTATTTATTTTTGATGCACATCCATGCTCGCCGCGTCATGGCTCTTACATCATTCAGTGCATAAATAAAAGAATCGATTAGAGTCTTCATATATATAGTACGTAAAACAGCAAAACCACACACACACACATATATATATATATATATATTTATATGGATTGCAAACTATGTTTATATGGACGAGTTTTCAATGTATAGTTATATATATTTGTCTCTTTATACATACTGAAGTTTAGGGACTAATAATATCAATTATCCAAACAAATTATGTAGAAATAGTTTGCCATCTCAGCATATTACGCTCGCTGGAATCAACTTTGTCCCCAGTCTTACCTATGAACGGCATGTCGTTTATATATATATATATATCCTCCTAAAGTATGTTTGTTATAAAATTATATAGGTTTAAATTAGGGTTCAAACCAACGTTTTTAAAATTTAAATTTTTTTAAGAGAAAAATACTATAACAAAATTAAGCAGCACCTGTATATACTAAACATCGCCATAGTGTTGGGGGCGGAAACTTTTTCCTATTAGGGAATATAACAAAAACAAGGTTTTGGATGGGCGAACATCGTTGGCCATGGGCAGCTGGATGTTGATCTGTGGGAGGTTTATCAAACATTGGACTTTTTTTTCGAAACAAGCATTTTGTGTGAGATTACGCACTCTGTTCCGTGAAAGCTATTGCACAAAATTTTGTTGGGACATTTTCTCTGTCGAGTTCTAGGAGTGAGCTCTACAAACAAGGTGAGATTTAAAGGTTAAATATTGAAATCATGAGATACGTATGCGTTTAGAAATTAGTTTTCTGGAATTTGTGGGTTATTTTAGTTTTTTGGTTTATGTTATTATTCATAGCAAATCAGTCATGACGACTGGGTTCTGCTACAAAACCTGCAATCAGCCGTGGGCACACACATATCCTTCGCGCTTCCGAAAATCAACATACCAAAAGCACACTGCATTTTTCGTCGTGCTCCTTGAACATGAACCCTAATACAGGGATCAATACGACGATGGAATTGAAGACGATAATATTATAATTTACTATTTGAAAATCTGGATATGAAGACTTGAAACACGTATAAAGTGTAATATTTTCGCCTCGTCTCGATTAAAATATTACTCATAGATTTCATCAACAAATAGCTTCTAGAATATAACAAGCTTTTGAGTGTTTCTTCAGGAAGAAATATTTTAAAAAAAAAACACAGAAAATAAAAGATCGTGTGCACATGTAAAGTGTAATTGCTTATAAAGTGCTACTCCACTTCATAAGTTTTCTTTGTGGACTAGTGATAACTCTATTAAAAATAAAGTTATTTTACTATTTTTGTGCATTTATAGTGGCTAATTTTTGAGATTTTAACTTATTTTAACTTATTTTACTTTATTTTGAATTTTAATGTATACTTCTCATTTTAGATTTATTTTATTTTATTTTAGTCCATTTAGTTTAGTTTTAGTAATTTTTATTTTAGTTTCCCTTCCAAAATAATTAGATTCCTCATATATGTAACGAATTTGGTGACAGGTGGGCTTAATTGCAAACTTTTGAGCTGAATGGGGTCAAAATGTAAAGAAACAAATCAGAAACTAAAAGTAGAATTCGGACCAAACAAAGCCCAATCTAGAGAGTAGAAAAAGATGCGGAATTCGCTTTTGTAGCCGTCAGATCCGCACCACCAACGGACCAGATGCGTGTGTGTGATTCACTCTCCTCCCCGTGAGTTTCAAGCAAATAAATTACTGCTCCAGCCATTCTCCCCACGCCACGTGGCAAGCTTAGCTATTACGGACAGTGTTGAAAAACGATCGGTCTTGCTCTTCCACCACTGTAAGATGTCTAGTTTGTCGTCATCGATTACAAAATTTGCTTCAAAATATTTTACTAGTTCGGTAAACGCTTGTGTTGATGACGATCCTACTGTTTTCTCTTTCTTCTTCAAGAAACTCCACGACGATCCTTTAGGCCCCGAACTGCTAGTTGATGTCAAAGTTCCCTGTTCTTTTTGACCTGTGATGTATTTTGCTTCATTCAAACTAAATACATTTTTTAACATTTTCTTAGCATCAGTAATAGTTAGTTGCATATCAATTCCTAAATTTTATGTTGTAGAAGTCATTAATGATTTAGTCCCATCTACTCCGCACTTAGGATCTAAAATGGTTGCTAATGCATATAACATAAGACAACCTGACCAATAACTTTTAAATTTAGCTTCGATTAACTTAACTATGTCTCTAAAAAGTTATGTATCCCTATAATAAAAATATGTTTCTGAAATATTAAATAGTTTATGTACATCTAAATGTGCAGTAGGATAATAAATTTCAGAAAGTAATTCAGTAACATTGTAAAAAACTTCTAGAAATTTAAAAAATACTCACCAATTTGACAATCTCTATCAAAAATTAGAAGTTGATCGTTGATAACTCTATTAAAAATAGAGTTATTTCACTATTTTTGTACATTTAAAGTGGCTAATTTTTGAGATTTTAACTTATTTTATATTATTTTATTTTATTTTGAATTTTAATGTATACTTCTCATTTTAGATTTATTTTATTTTATTTTAGTCCATTTAGTTTAGTTTTAGTAATTTTTATTTTAGTTTCCCTTCCAAAATAATTAGATTCCTCATATATGTAACGAATTTGGTGACAGGTGGGCTTAATTGCAAACTTTTGAGCTGAATGGGGTCAAAATGTAAAGAAACAAATCAGAAACTAAAAGTAGAATTCGGACCAAACAAAGCCCAATCTAGAGAGTAGAAAAAGATGCGGAATTCGCTTTTGTAGCCGTCAGATCCGCACCACCAACGGACCAGATGCGTGTGTGTGATTCACTCTCCTCCCCGTGAGTTTCAAGCAAATAAATTACTGCTCCAGCCATTCTCCCCACGCCACGTGGCAAGCTTCTCCCACTATCTCCTTGCTCCCAATCCGGCACTGCCACTTGTCTAGGTTTCTTCTCTCCTTTGTGCATGTAATTAAAAGCAATTTCGGCTTGGTGATAGGCAACTCTTCCAGCAACAAGCAGCCACAGAGAACAAGAGGGGAAGAGAGAAATGAAGAAAAAGAAAAAAATATATATTTTAAGAGTTGTAGGATTTTATTTTTAGGAGTTATTTTTAGTTTTAGATTTATGTAATTTTATTTTGTAAACACCATTGAAGAGGGCATTTTGGAGCTTCAAAAAGGAGGAAGATGAAGATTTGGGGATGAGGTTTTGGAGTTTGTGACACCTCCATTTGGTGATTTCTTTTCTATCTTTATTCTCTTTATTTTTGTAATCTCTAAAAATGCTTGATTATTGGTGTTATTTATTTTTATTTGTGATTATGGTTTGATTTTCCTTGTTCTAGGGTGTTCTAGGGTTTCAATATTGCATGGTTTGTGTTGCTTTGATTTTTCATTTATTCAAATTAATTGTGTTGTCTAAATGATGTTGGATAATTACTCTATGTGGTTTAATGTTTCTAGTTGATTGATCACCAATTAGTTGATTAGGAAGCCGTAGATTGCTATCGGAAGGTGGATTTGCGTGCTAGGCCAATCATGGAGTGACGTAATTTTAGCGGGATAAGAATATACCCACTAGGATCGAAATTCAAGAACCTTATGAATCCTAATTAATTGGTAATCATAGGAATATAGTTTACTAATTGATGAAGGATATTTCCAATTGACTACCGGGAGGGGCTTTGGAGAGTTTAGGAGATTTCAGCTTTTATTCAACTAGACAACGCAATTGAGATGATTAATGGATACTCAGTGACATAATTAGCTGAAATTGAATCCGTAGAGCATTTTATTAGTTTTGTTTAGTTATTTTGTTTAATTTTCTTAATTTTAGATTTAGTTATTGTTTTCTTTCTTAGTAATCGGTTGTTCGAATAATCTTAGAGCTAATTCAATTTCGATAATTA